AAGACAATTCTCTCATCTTTATGGAGGACTGACATCTACTCTGGAGATGCATAACTTCCTTATGGTAACTGACGAGGCAGCGATATAAGGCCATGTGTAACTTCTGCCAAAACTGAACGTGCTGGTAGGTTAAATAGATTTTCAGTTTAGGGTGCCTGTCTTAATTTCTTTTTTTTTCCAGAATCACAGCAAGTTTACAGGTGCGAGGTGCTGCACACAGATAGAAGCCTTGCTTCAGTGTACCATGCTTCACTGTGCACTGTTAAGAAAGGTGGTAAACCAGTCAGGTTCTCCTTATGGCTCTGTATAATTTTTGCTGGTTCAGATCAATTGTTGAGGGTGTTCCAGGTGAACGGCCAGACAGTTTTGTGTCTGTACATTCAGATGAGCCTAAAACAGAGTTCAATTTAAATAAGACAAGTTGCTCTTCTGGTGTTCAAGCTCTTAAATTCTATTGTGGACATATACAGTAGGTTCACTGAGTAAGTACCGTATTTGCAGAAATTTATTATATTACTTTTTTTTCTTAAACATAAGTACTCATGCTTGCAAGATTTGAAAGCAGGTGGAGTTGTGGAATCTTGCAGAAATAAGATCCAGCAACACAGATGTCAGTGGGAAATCCAATAAGAAATAGGTAGCCCTTGACTAGTGCTGAAAACAGTGTGGGAGTGGCTGGAAGGGACTGAGTTTCTGTTCTTCAGGTTATGTTTACCAGTAGTTTTTAGTAATTTGAGTTTTGATAGCAATTTGCTGTAAGCTGCCTATTTCATCCCTCGGTGGCTTCTGGTATTACAGGTTGGGGTAAGACTGCAATTGCCAGGTTTATTTCTATTCTGTCACTTGGGAGAAGGGAAGGGAAGAGAAGAGAATTGAAAAATCATGCCCAGATTGTAAAAATTTTGAAGGAGATGCACTGAGCCATTTAATAATGAATGAGAATTTTTTGGAACCAGAGGCCACCTTGGCATATGAAATTGAATGAAAGTTCCAGTGATAGGAGAATGATGTTGATATTAAGTCAATTGTTGATATTTGGAGGGGGAAAAATGCAGGAAACAGAGGAATGGAGAAGTATAATGACTTTTGACAAAGACACCATATTATCTTACTTTGTCAACTGGACAGTAACTACTACTTGACTGAGCAGTAAATCCAGCTTCTTAGGTTTTTTACAGTACTTCAGCTGTGAGCTGAACCAGCTCGTTAGTCACCAGACTACAGTTGCTACCGTATTTGGTATTTCTTTGAATTGTTTTATATTTTTCTTTCAGATTTATCACCCACTCTGCACTACATGACTGCTGTTGGATTAGGGTCAGTTGCTGCTGTCTGTCTTATACTGTTCCTGTCATTTTCTGCAGCATGGTATGTATTGTTATTAACTCCAGTTTTGTAGTCCTCCTGCACAAGGTTTACATGTTTTTCTTTTCAGGTAGTTTTTCTTACCAACCTGCTTGGTTTAGGCCTCTTGAGTTGTTAGAAACTGTTATCAGGAGTTCCTTCAGTGCCCACTACTGCTTGAAGTGATCCTCACTATATCTTTGCAATCACTGGCAAAACATCTGAAAAGTATGGGGCTCATCTTAATAAAGAAAAGATTCAGACAGTGAGTAGCACTAGGAATTTAGTTGAGAGGTGTTTTGATTTAATGGTAACAAAGTTCATATTCTGTGCTACTCTAAAAGTGAAGTCATACCAGCAGAAATGGTGAGGTATTTTTCTAATGTAAGGACCCAATTTATAGTCTCTCCAAATGGCCTAAAAGGATTGTTTTTCAGTAGTGTTGGTCTTCAGCTAAAGGCTACAATAAAAATGAGCTAGAAATTTTTAAGAAATTGGTTTCCTCTGTTTCATGATCCTTTGTGCAGGGGCAGTAACTTTAATACTGTCTTCCTTTCAGAGATAAAACAAATATGTGCCCTTAAGTAATCACTGAATATCTAAGTATTTTTAAAATCTCTTGAGTAAAAAAAAAATCTTTGACATAGTTTAATATCTAAGAATAATCTTTTGACTTACATCCCTCGAAAGGCCAGAAGTCTCCTGCTTGAGGTATGTGGAGTATAGAGCATTGATTAGTTAAAGCTGCTTATTTGGCATTCAGAAATAAGAGAATCTAGTCTTATATAAGGCTGGAGAAAGTAGGATTATTTGGATTATTTGTAGTTGTCTAAATATCAGTTCTTACAATCTGAATTTCGACATAAAGGTTCCATGGTGTCTTTCTATAAGTAATTAAAGAACAGCATCCCAGGATTTCCTTGGCAATAGTATGTAGTGGTAAACTTGAGCTTACAGTCCTGATTGGTGTAGTGTTTTTTTTTTTAAAAAACCTTGTCAGAATCAGCTTTGACGTTTGAGGCAGAATGGGCTGTAACTGTCTTGGTGTTTAAACTAGCAGTCCTGGCAGAGGACTTACGTATTACAGGAGGAAAGGTGGTTCTAGGCTGTCATGGTGTGAAAGGCTTCTCAGTTATTTCAGTTTCTCTGGCAAAAATGTGAGAGGGATGTAAGTAGTTTTTGAAACTATGTCCAATCAATTAGAATCACAGTGATAGGAGAATTATATAAGATAACAGACAGTCCTGGAAGAAGCATGTATGAGTATGAACCAGTTGTGAATAAGTAGAGAAGATTAAGTCCTGAACTTCCATTTCAGTCTTCTTTTAAAAGGAGTGAGAGCAAAAAAACCTCAGGTGACATCCTTTGGGAGCTGAGCACATCGAGTACATTTGACAGAGGTCATGCTGTAATGTGATGTAGTGTCAAGGACCAAGACTTGATAATTCAACAAGTATCTTCTAGGCCCTTGATCCCACCTACAGAAAAATTTTGGACTCCATTTTGTTTTAGAGAATATCAGAGAGATTTAGGCAGAGATTAAAGCTGCCCCATCACAGTTAGAGTTGGAGTTGGGAAACCCCAGATGTCATTTGTGAGAAGACCTTTCATAGTGCTCAAAAGAAGGAACCATAATGTTCAGAAATAACAAATACTCTTGTAGTTTCAAATAAGTATCAATTTAACGCATTTCTGATTAAAAACATAATTTGAAAAAAAACATGTGAAGTCAGCATTCTGCCCTCTCCAGTTGTAAACCCACAGGCCTGTATGAGGCACTGTTCTCCAAAGAAAGGTAGCCCATTGGAAGAAAGAGACAGAGAAGCTCAATGAGAAACATGAGATCCTTCTGATCCAGCTGCAAGTAGGGTGGACTCACAGTGGGTTGCTAAGCCTGGCAGAGAGGAGACTGCCGAGAAGCGTGATACACAAATATAGAAAATGCCTTTATAGAAAGACCTGCTTTCTCCTGTCCATAATGCCCATGGTACAGGTACCATCCATGGGCAGTATACCCATGTGCTTCTGAACGGTAGGAGAGGGAGGCATGGGAACAGATTGCTGCAAATGCTGTGAAACCATGGCTTCTCGGTAGTCTGCAAGAGCAGGTTAAGCAAACCTTTGTCAGGAATCATGCAGCTACAGCTGATACTGCCATGGTGTCAGGTGAGAATGGTCTTGGAATATTTCTTGGGGTCCCTGTAAACTTTCCTGTTCTGTAGCTTCTGTCACAAAGAACCACTGTATTCAAGTGCTTACCAGCTTGCTACATGTCTTCTGCCTCAGGGATTAAATTACTGCAGTGGGACAGATTGAGAATTCCCCCTAGCATGGTGCTGGCAGCAGTTTTAATGGCTCGGCAGTGAGTTGAAGTCTGACACTGAATTCACAGGGCACCCAGCCTGACTGCTGATGTCCTTATATAGTACTAATTTTTTTAATTAAAAAATGCATTAGGCTATAATTGTTATTATTAAGGTGCTCTGTGACATACCCACCTTGCTTCAATCCTCCTAATCCTTTGCTTCCTTTTACATGTGATGCCTATTCAGATGCATAAGGACAGTGCCAAGACTTCAGCTTTGTGAAGATATGCATTGAGCATGAAGGTTGCTAATGCCAAGGTTAGCATAGGTCAGGGAGTGCTCAGACCCCATGGGATTGCTTCCTACCCATCTTGCACCGGCTGTAATGTTCAGAATTTATACCAGCACCTTAGGTCTTAAAAAAACTGTCATTTTTCTCATCAGTATGAGTGATGCAAGATCTCTTGTCAGGTCCATGTATGAGTCTCAAATGATTTTTAGGTTGGTTTTTTTTTTTAACTGTTGGGGTTTTTTTTCTCTTTCTCCAGCTCTTATCTCCACAGCACAGTGCACTCCCCACCTGCTGCTGTAGCCTGTGAGGCTGTACATCTGTCTGCTACAATGGACATGGCACAAACAAGGATTACATCATCATTCCTAGAGACTGAAAATGATTCTCTTCTGTGATGTGCTATGCCCTGAAGTTAGCACAGAGAAAATGCACTCTTCTTACCAAAGCCAGCATCTGTGGGGTATGGACATACCTGCACAGCACATACGTACTATAACATGGGCAGTTGAAATGTGTTTGTTACTGGAAGTGAGGTGTTTATTGTCTCCCCTTGTTCTCAGGTGGTATGGTATATAAAGAAGAACCTTCCCTCACAAGCAGGTTTCTGTCCAAGACATTATCATGTGTCCTACATGTTGGCCACAGGCCTTCAGCTATTCCAAACACAGGAATGCCTGATAATGAGTGTCTGCCTTGTATTTTATTACATGAATAAAAAGATCCAATGGAGACTGTCTGAGGATCAACTGGCCCATTATGAGAAAGATACAGATCAACCCTTATATCACATAGAGTGCCTATTGGATTTCCAAGTTTAAAGGTAGAAGACTTCTGTCAGTCACTTCTGGGTACTGATACTTCACAAACAGGTACAGAGTTGTTAGCCATGAAATTGTCACATAAATAGTGTCAGCAACTGATGTGTTCCAAAGATAATGCAATCATTGCTCATAGCAATTAGCAATAATTGCAAATAATACATCAATCTATAAAACTGCAATTTGCCAAAAAGCTGAGTAGCTTTAATGGCATGTGAAACTAAATTAAATAGGGACCTACCTGTGTTACATGCAGTTTTGCTAATCTCTATAATTACAGCTGAGTAAAACCCTTAATAATTTTCTGGCTAACAAACTGGTGTGGAACACCTGGTTTGAGTCACTTAGTAAAGTACAATTAACTGATTTTCTATGCCATACTCCTAATTAATATTTTTTTCCTTCTGTAAGAATGAAGAGCCTTTGATTACTTCCACTCCTGTTCAGAAGTTACTATGAGTTATATTAGAAAAAATTGTTCTGTTAACTGGTAAAATAAAGAAACAAGAGTTTTGGTTTTTTTCTCAGTTTTGTGTTTTACTAGTTGGAATATATGATGCCTGTTTTTGGAATTCTAAATGTTTCTGATTCCTGCTAGCTTTATGATTTTAGATGTTCTGTCTCTCTACGTTCTGTAATTTCTTTTTTGGTGTTGTCACAGTTTAACTCAGGATGGGCAATTGAACCAGTGGCACCAGTGACAACAGTGCAGTACTCTCAATCTCCTCCCCATCCCACAAGGTAGGGAAGGAGATAGAGAATTAAGGAGAGACACTCTCTGGATTGAAAACTAAACTGGACAGCTTTGATTAAACACTAATGACAAAATTATTTACAATTATATATAAGTATGTGCAGGAATGTGCAAAACCCTATTGCCTCTCCCCACCCCCAGCAACTCCCACAGCATCTCCTGAGCTGTGAACAGTCGTGAAAAGTCCCAGAGGTGCCAGAGGGAGCAGCAGAGCAGACAGGAGCTGAGGGGAGAGTTGTGATGGGTCAGGAGTGCACGAGCCTGGGGATCAATGGTAATGGATGAATGGAGTCCTCCCTGGGTGCTGGCCATGGATGGGAGAGAAGGGAAGAAGCAGGACGGGGCTTGATTTCCATGATCCCTGACTTTACACCAAGCTTATGTAGACATACATGGAGTGGAATACTTTAGTCAGTTTTTATGTCCATCTAGTCCACTCATCCCTATGGGAGGGCTGCAGATAACAACTCTTCTGCTCCAACAGCCTCTGTGGCAGCAAAGTGAAGTGACCTTGGCATCTCAGCAGTAACATAAACATTCCAACATTATCAGTCCACTGGCTGGAATGAGTGCTGCTAGTTAAAAGAGACCTTACTGAAGGAAAAAAAAAAGTCTGTAAAAGGAACACTGGCTTTATCCTGGCTCAAACCAGGACAAGTGTTTTTAAAAGGGTATTTTAAATTGTAACAGCAGACTTCATAGTTGGTAGCAAAAGGAATTACAATCCACGTAATGGAGATATACAAATACGTGAGAGAGCTTGCCAGTGCTGCATCTTACTGGGGGTGCTTTTTTCAGGCCTGAGCTGATGGCATTTCTGCAGTCTAGCTAAATCTGCCCTTCAAGTTAGTAAGTTTTAAGTAGTTAGTAGCTGAGTAAGAAAACCTTTGTCTGCATTAGTGATTAGCAGTTGATACTGTTTTCCTTCACTGCCTGAGAAAGAAAAACTTAACTGTTCACACTCAGCTGCTGTTACTTAAGACCAGCAGTGTTACAGTATGTAATGCAGGACCAGGAACATAAAGCCCATCTTGCCAGTGGCTTCATATGACCTTCAACAAGGAATTTCTTTCCTGTGTGCCTCTTCTTTACCTTGTAATTTCTTAATGTATAGTTTTTAGAGCAAGGCTGCTTAGAAAACATTCACACTTCTGCTGGGACTTAGATAATGTATTTAGTGATTGATTTGGACATCTCTGCACAGCAGAGCAGTGCACTGTATTAATGGCCAGGAATGGACCCATAACGGAGATGCAATGAGGCAGGTCTCCCTGCCGTCCTAAGTTCTCAAAAACAGCTACAGTCATACAAGTTTCCTGCTTTTCCTCTGCCTCCTTTGTCACTCTTGGCAGACCTACCTCTGGCTGTGAGCCTGTCTTCATCTGTTGTGTACTTATCTTTCTTACATCTACATCTGTTTCACATTAATGTGGGAAAGCATAGAGAAATAATTTAGCCATGCCTTCCTCTGATAATTGTGCACATGTTAACAGTTTGTTTGTTAGACCCTCTGTCTTTCAGAAACATTGCTCTGTTTCTCCCAAGCTTTCCAATTATGTTTTTTAAATTAATTTTTAGGGAGAGTGAAGAAAAGGAGTAGCTAGGATAGAAGAAGGATCTGGAAAGTTCTACTCAGAACAGCCATTACAGGGCTAAACCAAAAGAACAGCATGAAATTATATTGGCTGTGCTTAGTTTTGTCTGTTCCAGAAACAAGCTTGTGCAGTGAAATCAGTCTGTTTTTGGAGTACTGCTAATGAAGGCCAGTTCTCTGACATTTCATGAGAGGGAAGTATGCCATTATGCTAGAAAGGGTTTCACTGCAAATATCATCTTTTGGACTTCTGATGCAGATAGCTGGTTTCCAAAAATATGTCTTAGGAGAAGATAGTCCTAGCAGCTGCCACCTTGGGTGGGGCTTTGGAGTTAGAGGTGTGCGTCTATAGATGTGATGTTGTTGCAGATTTATAATCCTTTTACTTAAGTTTATGGAATGACACAGCAGCTCTGTATTTTACACATAGAATCATACCAAGCTAATTGCAACATTGACATAATCACACCCTCATAGTTCAAGAAATTCTAGAGACATTTCTAATGATCCTTCACTGCTGTTCTTTCAATTAACACAAAGATTATTCTTTTTTCTTCCAATGTTTTTTGCTGTGCTTCCTCAGATACACCCAGGCCAAGTAATGTAAAGCCAACTGAAGCTTCTCTGTTTTTACTGTGGATCTATCCTCATTCATGGGACTATGTTGAGAGGTTTAGATAATACCAATTGTCTCCCAAGTGTTTTTGTCTGCAGAAGAAACAGGAGATTGTTAGCCCAGGTTAAACAATTCTGTTTAAGCTTATGTTGAACTATTTTTTATCTTTTTTTTTTTCTGTGATACTGAGATAACATTCACTCCAGCATTTATGCTCATAATTGGAACTGCTTATAAAATGAAAAAACTTTCATTGTAAAATGCACTTTCCACTACATGTCACTAATGGGTCCTTTAAATATTTTTATGAGATTTCTTTAATGTGGGCTCAGATTTAACTGTTAGCAGTTTGCCAGGTATTGCATTATTTTGCAGGGCCATTTCATATTCAACAGAAATCAGCCAGAGTCCAGCATGAGCTGGCAGATCCGTGATCTCTAGGACAGATGGAAGTTTTTCTGTTCCTAGTGGCAGCATTGCTCGGAAGTTAAGAAAGTCTCTGAAATACAGAACCTTTGCATTGCTTTAAAGGACAAAGCTGGTGCCTTTGGATGACATTCCGAGGACACTGTGGAATCAGTTGGTGATCTCAGTGCTGAGCTCTAGATGAAAGGAATGAGTGTCAACATTGCAAAGCACCTCCATAACTGCAGTTCCTGGCAGCAGGAGAAACTACCCTGGAGAGCAGACACTTGTTCCTTTTGCTTCAGACAGCAGGAAGGTCTGAGGAGACAGAGGGTGATAACAGTATTTGTGGTATGGCTATATGAAGCTATTTCCATTTTGAGGTTAACAAAACCAGCACCTTTACTGTTACAAAAAAGTGGGCCTTGCTCTGAAAGCATGTTTTTCTTTTTTCTCTGTTCCAAATGCATTTGTTTTTGTTTTTTTTCTCAGAAATGCTGCTTTTCTTCCTGCAGTCTCACAGCTGAATAAGAATGGCTTTTTACTGGTGTTTTCCCACCTTGAGGCAGAACAATTGATGTATTTCAGTTACAGTTCATGTTTCTGTGCCCTGGTGTCCTTGGATCTCCATGTGAAAAACTGTATGCATTATGTTGGTGTGTGTATGCATATGCTTGATTCTGTTTCTTCCATTTAACTTAAGAAGTGAAATGGGGTCACAACAACCCCATGCAGTGCTACAGGCTTGGGGAAGAGTGGCTGTAAAGCTGCCCAGCACAGAAAGATCTGGGGGTGTTGAGCAGCAGCTGGCTGAACATGAGCCAGCAGTGTGCCCAGGTGGCCAGGGAGGCCAAGAGCATCCTGGCTTGTGTCAGCAATAGTGTGACTAGCAGGAGTAGGGAAGTGATTGTGACCCTGTTCTCAGCACTGGTGAGACTGCACCTCGAATCCTATGGGCAGTTTTGGGCCCCTCACTACAAGAAATACATGGACATGCAGGAGTGAGTCCAGAGAAGGGCAACAAAGCTGGTGAAGGGTCTGGAGAACAAGTCCTATGAGGAGAGAGGCTGAGGGGACTGTGGTGTTTAGTCTGGAGAAAAGGAGGCTGAGGGGAGACCTAATCACTCTCTACAACTGCCTGAAAGGCGGTTGGGGAGAGGTGGTCTCTTCTCCCTCTTAACCAATAGCACAGGAGGAAACGGGCTGAA